TGCTGCATTTGCAGTTGCTGTTGTTCCTTTGCTTTAAGTTGTTGAGACTGTTTTTCCAAACAACAAACAGATAGAATTATATCTACAGGAAATGAGCAAAAAGTAAATCCGTAAATATTTTATATAACAAAACAGAGACACCTCTATATAGGCTGCAGCAGCCTCGGAATGTTTCTCATTTGTTCTAGCAATAAATATGTCCCAGAAGACAGACCACCACTCGAACAGAAATCCTCCAGGCGCATCGATCGCTGTAGAAACAATTAACAGACAAAGCTTAAGATAAATGTAAAATAGGTGACACTCGCATAGTCGAAGCATCAACAAAGAATCAAAATCATCTAACAGTTCAGGCAATTTAGCTTAGAGCTCGCTATATTATAAATGAATATGCTTGTAAATATTACCAACTGGATCAGTGGCAACCTTCCCTTCAGTCATAAAAGCTTTTGCGGAAGCATGCAACTTTCTTTTCAACAGATAATCATGAATATAAACATCAAGCCTGCAGCATGAACAAAAAAAAAGAAATAAAAAATCACTTATTTCTAGTTGAATCTACTGAAAGGAAACAAGTTCAAAATTATATAAACTAATAATCAACAAAAGCTGAGACAACGAAGTAAACAATCACTCTTACATCTTGTCAGCTTCCCAATTACTCTGCGCCATTTTCTTTCCCTGCAAAAAAGAAAATTTAAAAAGAAAAATCCAGGACCTTAGATCTTTCCTTAATAAGTAGTCGTCTAAAGGAAAACAGAGTTTCTATCAGAAAAAGCAAGTAAATATTAAGAAATAATTTAAAATATATAGAAGAGAATTCAACTTATTTTCAGCGTGAGTTTACCGAACCTGAGGTTTACATTTTCATCAAAGTAATGGCCAATTTTTTTCTTCAAAACTCTTTTTATTTTTTTTCTCGGCTGCCAAACAAACCAAAACTCGAAATTCATCAATGTAATTCACAATTAATCTATGAAATAATTACCGGCGAACTGGATCAATGCTTAGACAACCTTTCCACAGGATCTACACCTCACAAACTACAATTCAAGCTAAACAATTTAAAGAAAAGCTCCAATTCAGCAAAAAGCAGTTAAGATCTTCGTTTTTTGAAACTGACTGAATTTGCGGATCTTAAAGCGATCTGAAACTGGAACCATAGACACACAAACAACCATGGAAAGTTTTTATAATTCTCTGAATTATGTCAGCTAAAGAAAAAAAATATTTCTTAAGAAAACTGTGAATGATTCTTTTGAGTGTAACTGAAGTAGAACAGCTCGAACTTTAACAGTAAAAATAATTTTTTGCAGAATCAGGGAACATGTAGTCTGCAGATATTTAGTGAAAAAAAGGCTTATTCTGAAGAAACCTAAGCTGCGGTTCGTGGTTAGATTCTGTTCCTTTTTATATAGAGTTTTCGGTTCGGAGTTTGGTTCGAAATGGAAAGTGACCGAGCTTTGGTTGGTTCGTGTGGGCCGAGGCGGTCCCCGGTGAGGTTGATACGTGGGTTATTTGTCGAGCAAGTTTGGTGGTGAAAATAGGGGCGTTAATGGCACACGCTCGAATTAGGGGAACGAGGTGTTGGAGGTTTAAAGAGTGGCAATCGGGATGTAAATTTTGGGTAGTTTTGAGGGTATTTCTGTCATGAGAATGAAATTCGCGTACTGCTGACTGAAGATGAGTTGTCGCCTAGCCGCTGTTTCAAGGTACTCGACCAAACACGGTTCATGTTTTTTTTATTGTTATTTTTATTTTGGGTAAAATATACAAATGGCCACTCAAGTCTCTCAAATATTAAAAATTATAAAATAATCCTCTAACTATAGGGTATTTTTTTGAGTCATCCGATTATTAAAAGTTACAAAATGATCACCGACTATTCATATGATCAAAATTCATCATTTCCCATTAAAAAATTGATGGTCGTCTGAGTTTAATGTTAACATGATGATTGAGATATGATAAAATCATATTTTAATGTCCATGGACACCACTGTTGCTTTCAAACACTGGCTTAACGGTCTAATCTTTAAAGCACTGATTTGATGATATAATGTAAATGGAGAGTCGGTCCATAAAATACAGCTCAAACGATTCGGTAATTAGATTTTATCATATCTCAGTCAACATGTTAATGTCCAGCTCAGACAACCGCCAAATTTTCAAAGGAAAAATACGAGTTTGGAATATATGAATAGTCGGGTGACATTTTGTAACTTTTAATAGTTAGGTACTCAACAAAACAATATCCTATGGTAAGAGGACCATTTGTGTACTTTATCCTTTAATTTTTTTTCTCTTTAATTAATTTGATTCAATAGCCATCAAACTCCTTAAAAATATTGAATTTAGTCCTCTATTCTTTTTTGAAGGTTTCATTTTAATTAGTAACTTTAATTAATAGTTAAAAAAAATAGTTATTCATTCATTGACAAATGTATAATTTTATGTTAAAAGGTAAACTTATAAAATTTATGGTACAAAAATCGATCATAAATACAAATAAAATATTTAAATCATATGATCGTCTCATCGTACCTAGTCAATCCATATCTACAATCGTCAATCGTTGGATTATCACGGGATCGATAACGGAGGTACATAAAAAGTGAGAAACTCCTACCCATTCAAAACCTTTAATCTAATAATATTTTTAAATTTATATTAATTTAAATTTAAGTAAAAGTGATTTTTTTTTACAGCTCCACCCTGGTCGAATGTTCCAATTTTTCTCAAAATTTTCTTTTGATTTCCAGTATCTTCCATACCTAACACTCATTAATAATCTTCATGTAGAAACTTTAATTGAAGAAAAAGTCTATACCAAGTAGCCAATATTAGTTAGGTTTAGGAATGGTTTAATGCATATTTTATATCAAAATATAATTTAGTGTGTATTTATTTATTAAATAAATTGAATCGTCTCATATGTGTTTATCACTGATTTATACATATCTTTTACAACTCTTCATGCAATTTAGTGAACCATCCAAAAACATGAGACTTTCTTAAAATTTTCTAATGGAACATAAGAACTAAAATTATATAGTTAGACTCAAACACAAACATCTTAATAATATAATATCGATCGCTGAGAATAAAACCAAACGCCTAAAAGATAAATAATATAGAGGTTCATCAATAATATCTTATTTTTATTATATATAAATCTATATGTTATGATAATTGAAAGATAACGACGAATAAAACAAATAATATCAATAATAATAATTACGTGAAAAATCCTAAAAATAAAGATTATATACAAATATCAGAATTATAAGGATTTATAACTATAAAAGCGAAAATAAATTTCAGAAATCCTAAACTTTATTTATAGTATTAATCACAGAGGATAAATAAATCTGATAGTAATAAGAATTACTAAAAGAATCTAAAGTATATTAATGGTAAAAGAAATATTATTCTCTTTAGAGATTTTGATTCAAACAATTATATCTGCATAGTATACATAAATTATTAATTAATTAAAAAACTCCGAGTATATATTATTTTATAATAACTTCAAACTACTAAAAAAATGATAATTTTATAAGGATTAAATAGGTAGCTTCAACTCAAAAACATTTACAGTATATCGTAAATTTTAATTCTGCAAATTGTGTATATTTTTTTGGTTTTCAAAGTGAAACAAATAACTATACAAAGATAGCATGATAGTAGCGTTCTACCAAACACCATCATTGATAATACTATGTCTCTTTAAACGTGAAAAATATAGAATAATTCCACGTCTATTGTTGGTAAATATAGATGCATGGTTATATTGAACTTTGCGCAGGTAAAAATATCCAATATATTAACAAAATTCATTACTTTTAAAAATTACGATGTATAATATAATTAAAACATTTTAATTTTAAAATACACTAAACTGGATATAGTAAAAAATCGCCACTTCTCCTTTCGGAAACATAACTTTTAAACTATTGAATATAAGGGGTTGTTTGTTTGCCTCTTAATGGAATCATTCAGTGTTAAATGTTGAACCGTTCAACATTCAGCGCGTTTGTTTCGTATCTCTAAATGATTCAGTGCTGACTGATTCAGCAAAATAATGCTGAATGATTCAACACATAAGTACATTCTGAATGATTCAGAGTCATTATCAAACAATATGTCACATTCAGAGCCTCTGAATTATTCAGCGTTTAATCATTCTGAAGTAAACAAACAACCCCTAAGATTATAAACTAAAGAATTTTAATTCAATGTAAAATTTATAATCATCAAAATTTTAATATTTTATTTTACCTTTTACTAAAATCATTCAATAAATTCATCGGAAAAAATTGATTTTGCGGCTAAATAAAGTTTTAAACCCTAAGTATATTAAGATTAGTTATGAAATTAGGGTGCGTTTGGTTCACGGAATGTAAGATTACCAGTGGGAATAAAAGATTACCAGGGAATAGGATTACTGGGAATGTTGTATTTTGTGTTTGGTTGGTTTAGCAGGAATGTAAGATTACCGTGTTTGATTAAATGAATAAAAGATTATGGGAATGTATATGTGATCAAATTGTCTTTATTATATATTTGTATAATATTACAAATTGTAAAATATTTATATATTTTTTTTAAAAAATTAAATTTATAATATTTATATAATTTTTTTACAAAATTAAAAATATAAAAAAGGTTTAATGAAAGGGTAAATTTTTTTTAACCCCTGAACTTTATATAAAATTTTAATTATAGACTTTTCTTGTAAATCTAAAATAATTTAAGGATAAATTTGTAATTTGACATTCGTAGAATTTTTATTATTCAATGACAGAAGAAAGATATTTTTGAAAAAAAAAATTTAAGTGCATTTTAATCCAAAACGTCGGTAATGTTACAATACCTAAGAGAAGGGAGATAATGACATTTCCGGTAATATACCCAAAAAATTTACTATTAGTAATAAAACATTACCGATAATAAGATTCCTGACCAAACATGGGAATATAAAATTCTAAGGTGGCCATGTATTACAAAAGCCATGAAAATCGAGTGTTTACGTCATGATGAGTCCAGAAGTGATCCGTACGGTAGCCAATCGTTACGCTTCCCAGCTGCAACTATGTTACCCCCTAACTTCTGCCTCTTTCTCCCTAGCCCAAACCATCCACTCTCACATGGTAACTTCTGGTTTCCGCCCCCGTGGCCACATTCTCAACCGTCTGATTGATGTGTACAGCAAATCATCAAGGGTCATCTATGCTCGCCACCTGTTTGATAAAATTCCTGAACCAGATATTGTTTCAAGAACGACTATGGTTTCAGCTTATTCTTCGTCAGGCGACATTAGAACGGCGTGGAAAATGTTTGAAGAAACCCCTTTGAGCATCCGGGACAGTGTTTTCTACAACGCGATGATCACGGGGTATTCACGCAATGAAGATGGCCATGCATGTATCGAACTGTTTCGCCGGATGTTACGTGATGAATTTAGGCCCGATGATTTCACTTTCACCTCTGTTTTAGGTGGATTGGCTCTTGTTGTCAATAGAGCAATGCAGTGCAAGCAATTCCATTGCGTAGTTTTGAAGTTAGGGACAGGGCTCGTTACTTCTGTTTTGAATGCACTCGTTTCTGTTTATGTTAACTGCGGATTGGTGTTTGAAGCTAGGAAATTGTTTGATGAGATTAATGAGAAAGATGAGTTGTCATGGACGACGATGGTAACGGGGTATGTTAAGAATGATGAACTTGATGCAGCAAGGGAGTTGGTTGATGGGATGAATGAAAAGATGGAAGTTGCTTGGAATGCAATGATTTCAGGGTATGTGCATTGCGAACGTTATGAAGAAGCACTAGACATGTTTAGGAAGATGTATTTTGTGGGAATTAAAATGGATGAATTTGCATACACTAGTATTATTAGTTGTTGCGTGCATGCCGGATTGTTTCATCTTGGGAAGCAAGTGCATTGTTATGTTTTAAGGACAGAAGCTAAGCCTACACCTGAATTTTCATTGCCTGTGAATAATGCATTAGTTACATTGTATTGGAAATGTGAAAAAGTGGATTGGGCACGCCGGATTTTTGATAGCATGCCTGTAAGAGACCTTGTTTCATGGAATGCAATCTTATCTGGCTATGTGAATGCTGGCCGTATCGATGAAGGTAGGTTGTTTTTTAGGAAGATGCCAGAGAGGAACCATTTGACTTGGACTGTAATGATATCAGGATTAGCTCAAAATGGGTTTGGAGAGGAGGGTTTAAAGCTGTTTAACCAGATGAAATCAGAGGGATCTCAGCCATGTGATTATGCATTTGCAGGAGCAATCACTTCTTGTGCCATGTTAGGAGCATTGGAGAATGGACGTCAACTCCATGCTCAACTTGTTCGTTTGGGGCTCGATTCAAGCCTTTCAGCTGGAAATGCACTGATTACAATGTATGCAAGGTGTGGTGTTGTGGAAGCTGCTAATGAGCTGTTCCTTACAATGCCATGTGTGGATTCAGTCTCTTGGAATGCCATGATTGCAGCTCTTGGCCAGCATGGGCATGGAATACAAGCATTAGAACTTTTCGAGCAGATGTTGGGTGCAGGCATTTCACCTGATCGGATTACTTACCTCACAATTCTATCTGCTTGTAGCCATGCGGGTCTAGTTAAAGAAGGGCAGTATTATTTCAACTCAATGCATAGGCTTCATGGGATAACCCCAGGTGAAGATCATTACGCCCGTCTCGTTGATCTGCTTTGTCGAGCTGGAAAGTTCCTAGAAGCAAAGGATGTGATTTCATCAATGCCTTTTGAGCCAGGTGCAGCAGTTTGGGAGGCTCTTCTGGCTGGATGCCGGACTCATGGAAATGTAGATTTGGGGGTTCAAGCCGCTGAACGACTAATCGAACTGATGCCGCAACACGACGGAAGCTATGTCCTTTTGTCTAATATGCATGCTACTGCTGGGCGGTGGAACGACGCTGCAAACGCACGGAAACTAATGAGAGACAGAGGAATACGCAAGGAACCTGGATGTAGTTGGGTGGAGGTTGAGAACAAAGTCCATGTTTTCTTGGTTGATGACACAATGCACCCTGAGGTGCAAGCAGTTTACAATTATCTTAACAAATTGGTGACGGAAATGAGAAGATTGGGTTATCTTCCGGACACCAAGTTTGTACTACACGATATAGAGTCTGACCAGAAAGAACGTGTCCTGTCGGCTCACAGCGAGAAGCTTGCTGTAGCTTTCGCACTCATGAGGCTTCCTCGTGGAGCCACCGTGAGGGTATTCAAGAACCTTAGGATTTGTGGGGATTGCCATAATGCATTCAAGTTTATGTCAAAAGTGGTGGGAAGAGAGATTATTGTAAGAGATGCAAAGAGGTTTCATCATTTTAGAGATTGCGAGTGCTCTTGTGGTGATTACTGGTAGGCACAATTTTGAACATTACAAATGATAGTGGACTGAATCCGTAAAATTCAGAGAACGTGTTTTGCTTTTCGACCTTGATTTTTTCCCCTAATAAAATAAAATATTCAAAACCTTTTTTTAAAATTTTATTCTAACACTAGTAAAATAAAAGGTAAAGTAAACTAGAGGTAATTGGAATTACGTTCAAACGATCATTTTAATCATTACATTTCTTGAAGTAAATAAAATAAATATTAAATTTATCAAATTATTATAAAACAATCATTAAAATTTATCAAACGGTTATAAAATAATCATTAAATTTTATCAAATAGTTATTAAATTTATCAAAGATCATTTTATAATTTTTGAAAGTTCAAATATGAAAACGATTGTTTGAACATAGTTTACTGACCTTTGAGAATTTACCCTAAAATAAATGATAAAAGAATAATTTTAAAAAACATAAGCTACCATCGGAATTTGACCAAGTTGAAGACTGAAGGAAAAACTTCAGGGTCTAATTTTGATTAACATTTTAACCGTTATGATTATTTGCATGGAAGAACACCGGTTTCCATGTTGCAAAAGCCAAGTTCTTTTGTTCATAAGACAAGTGATCAACGTAATAAAAGAGAAAACATGATCTGAATTAGGCAATAAAGTTCAGTACAAACTGTTTTATGTTGCAACTTTCATTATTGCACTTGCATTTGCTTTTGCTGTTTGATAACATGTGCCAAGTTTGTGTGTGCCCTGTGGTTCCTTTCAAACATTTCAATCTACCGGTACCCAAAGCTCTGCGAAATCTTCGGATTTGGTATTCTTGATGTTTGTCAGCCATATTTCGCTATTGTCCATGGTGCAAGGGCCACAGCTTTTCCTGCAATGTGCTAGGTGCAGAATGATTCCTTTAGCTAATGTAACAAAACCGAGAGGCATCGGCCATAGCACCACTTCAACAAAACCAGGGAATCAGAAGTTGTCTATAAAAATCAGCATATCTCTTCCGCAAATATGGTGTCAAAGATGTACTGTACTGCAAAAGGTTGTATATGAGAAAGCAGTAGTTAGAACCTATTATGCACAAATACAATATGATTAAACTGCAAAAAGAAAACAATTAAAAGAAATGGAAGAAGAAAAAGATACGGCAAACAGATCCACTCATTGCTAGTATAAAGCTAAAAGTTACAGTAATTGCTATTTGCTAATGTAATCTTTTATAAGTTGAAGCTACTATAACACCATTTTGTATATACTTCCAAACAAGGCTAAACGGAAATTTGTCCAATTGGATAGTAACATGAATGTATTGAGGTATCTTCTAATTCGATTATAAAAAATACTCGTATTATCTTCCATAACTATAGAAAGGACTAATTGCTGCTGTTAATGAGCATGGTTACACCAGGACCAGGGACTTCCTTAATCTGGCTCTGTTTCCTGGTGTAATGGAATTAGGAATTCTATGAGAGAGTGTCACAAAAGATGCGACTTCTACCACTCTAAATTTGTAGCATTTTCTTTGCAAGAAATTACACTTTGATCTAATTCTAGTTGAGCTGTCCAATCCTTGTTGCTTCTGGTCTTGGTGAATTGTACAAATGAAAAGTGAAATTGTAGAAATGCTTGCTTAACATGGTTAGATACCTGATAATGATTCATTGTCGACTAACACATTTACAGAAGTTTAAAAAAAAAATGTATCCACCTATTTGTATGATTGTAACTCTCCATAAATATGATTGTAAGAAATTGATTATTATCCCCCCCAAAAAAAATCACTTATTATTAATAAATCAAGGAAACTAAAGCTAAACACATGCAAAATAGATATGACTAACTTTGGCCAGAATAAACCTTCCTTGTTCAGTATACTGTGTTGATCAAGAAGTTAACTAAAGCTAAAAACAAACAAAACAAATCTAGCTAACTTTGCCCAGAATGTACCTTCCTCGCTTAGTATATTGGGTTGATCAACCAAAAGTTGGTGAAGTGCACCCAGATCACCGGAACTGCAAATCAAGGAAACATAACAATTACAAAGCCATGGCTTAAAGAATGTTGTAAAAGTAATTCCCTTCTTTTAGGAGGTTAAATAAATTTAATTTAACAAACCAAGAATCAAGTGAACAAAAAACTCATATCTTCACGTGGGAAAGGATGAATAACAGTACAGAACAAGCACAAAATAAGTGGAAATAAGCTCTTGATATTTTATTGCATGGAATTAGGATTATGAACTATCATTGCACTGTATTTGTCATCTTGTTCAACCGAATAAATTAATGTGAACACTTTTATGGATTACACAATCATCCAAGAAGATTTTAATGAATTGGCTAGCTACATTTTGTAATGTGGTTCTCGTTATAATAAAATAAAAACTGATAATCATAATTCCTCAAAATAAAGATACAGAGTTTGAATTTTAATTTACATTTGTACTCTTACTCAAGTATTATCTCATTTGTTACATAACAAAAAGTAGGCAAGCTAAAGAAGTAAGCTTTAGAACCTAAAGTATAGAAGAACATAAATTTTACTTATCATACTTATGCAATCTAAAGCACAATAATATTTTTTGGGAGCTCCATATTCTATTGGACTGTTTAAGGGTCCAATCATTTATGAGGGTAAAACAGTAGGAATGACTCCACCATGCCATACCCTTGTCCCCAAAATACTTTGGCATGGTGCCTACATGCACCTTATAGGGAAGCGTCTGAACTACAGACGTAAAATTTGCAAGTTTTACACTTTCTTTGGATCATTGGGTTAACTGAGTTTAATGGCTGATATTAAAACTTCTAAGTTGAGGATAATCCACTTCTTTTTCCCCCGTAAAAATCCCCTCATTTCCCACTAAAAATCTATACATATATCAAGACAGTTTTATTGACATTTTTGAATTGCAAGAGCAGGATAATGAGTTATCCTTACTTTGGTTTCAAGGCAAGAGCTGAAAGTGCAGAAACCAATGATGATTTAAGAAGGTACCTAGCAAACATGGATAATCAGTCATTTAAAATCTTGCTACCTCAGATTTTGACCAAAAGTGAATCGAAGCAAGTTCTTCAAACCTCAAATAGTGAAAAGTGCAATCATGAAAAATCTACGGAAACATAAATGTGTATTCCTACTTGTATATCATACAAATTAAAAAACATTAAGCAGTAGAAAAACTCATTCTAAATTTTTTGAAAGATGGAACTGTTAATTACTCGGCAAGGTGCATTTCATGGAGAAGTACCAGCCCGTCTATGCAATTTGTAAGAGTCGGTTTTATGCCAATTCTATGTTGCAGTTGTTTTTTGTTCAGCTGGTTAGAGCACCCTTTTGCAAGCTGTTTACCATCATATTGAAGCTTCTCAAGAGAAAGAAGAACAGCCAGAAAGTCTTCACTGAAATAAAAACATAATTCATTATTTTATCTAAGACCTTTACAAATTTCATTTAGATAATAAATCAAACTATTATTTACATTCTCAAAAAGCAAATATAGCAAATAACAAAGAGCAAAAGACTCCGTCAAATAAACAAAGACTAAACACTTACATGGTATTTCTCATGGAAAGTAAAATATTTTGCAAAAAATCCATCTGCTTTTGCATCACTGCAACTTCGATTCCTCCAATCGAATTTAAACTCGCATAATTTTTAGTGTTTTGAATAGTCTGATAAAATTGAATAAAGAACTTCTATTAAAGAAATTAAAATAAATAAATAAATAGGAAGTTGGGAGAGAGGAAAATATTAGGTTTGACCTCTAATCTGGCAATAATAGAAGAAGCATTTCGAAACTGAGAAATTAAGCGAGATTGAATGTCGTCCCATTTACTCATTTCATCTTTTGCTTTTCTGAATTTCTGCTGATATTTCTTTATCATCGACTCCATCGGGGTTTAAATAGCAGCGGCGGCGCTGGCTGCACAGTCCGACGCCGTTAAGAGCTTAAATACCGGTCCAAAGCAATTTCACACCAGTAACGGCCGATTGCAGCCGTGAAAAGCGGTACAACGGAAAATATCGCCAGTGACGCCTGTTATTCCCGCGATCCGGTTACTTTGTAAAAAAAAATTATCAGCTCAGCGTGATAAAATAAAGTAAAAGGAGTAAATAAATAACCCTAAATTTCTCTCTCTCTCTTCTTTTTTCTTAACCACAGTCGGTATCTTTGTTTCTTCATCTTTATAATCGATAACAATACCAATTTTAGAGTTGATCGCCGACGGTTAATATATATTATTTTTTAAAGTATATAAATAATCTTTAAATTTTTAAAATGTCTGTATTTTTGTCACCTAACTTTTGAAAATTATAATACCGTCATTAAATTTTTAAAGTCCCGACATTACCCGTCGGGTTAAATCCACGAGATAATGTGTTGAGAAAGTTTATTTCACGAGATAATGCTCTTCCCATATTATTTGCTGAGATAAAGCGAATTTCACAGTGCAAGTGTAGGTCGACAGGCGCTCCGGGAGACTAAGGAAATCGCCATATTGTTCCCGCGAACTGTGGTGAGCTGCTGCACTTTGCATGCATGTAGGTCGTCATGCACGCCCGTCCTGCTAAAATGAAGGTCGCCATGTGATCCCTGCTGAAATGATTTTTTAGAACTCTAAAAACATCAGACATCCTAATCTTATTCGTGAAAATATTACTTTCCATTGTCAATATATTTGATAATAACCCTCCTTTGATATATATTAACTCAAGACAAAACAATAATTAATTCAATCCACGAATAAGTCTAACCATACGTATCTAATGGGTTATACAATGACTCTTGTTATTGATTAAAATGCTCTTAAAATTAAGGAAAAGAGTGATTAAAAGGTTGTTAATGGGGCCACAAAAGGAATTATTTTGTTTTATTCATACTTTATGCACAAAGTTGAAATCATGATGGATTTTGCACAAAAATCATTTCGAGAGGGATTACATGGCGACCTTATAGGTTGTCCGGCATACATAGCGACCTTTATTTCCTAGGCTCTCTACGCTTGCACTGTGAAATTTGTTCTATCTCAACAAATAATATGGGGAGAGCATTATCTTGTGAAATAAACTTTCCCAACATATTATCTCGTGGATTTAACCTTATCCGTCGTTAGTTTTATCTCACGTAACACCCCCGGGTCTTCTTATTCCTCCTCCTTCTGCTACTGCTGCTGCTCTTAAGCATGTTTTATAGAAAAAAATAAAGAAATCGGCAACAACGCTACGAATATTTAAGACATGTAAATACCTCCCCCAAAGTTCGACTCGGTCTGGGAGTCCAATAAAATGGTAAAAATAAGAAGAAAAACTAAGACAAAGTAATCAAAAGGTAAACCCGTTGGTGGTTTCACGAATCAAAAACGAAAACACTGAAGAATTCGGTTGCGAGCAAACGGCATCTCTTTCCGGTGAGGTGTTGCAGATTCTTCTTCAGAATATATGCACAATGTCGTAGGCAAATCTGTTGATGACATGTTAAAGAAAGTACCGATAGGCAAAAAGGATATATCCGAAAGCTGGCAAACTTTTACTCTTAAGAAACAAAAGGTGACATTCATCTCAATAACAAAAACAGGCAGAGGCAAAGCCGAATAATGTGATTTAACAACTAGGGTTCAACAACAACTGCTATCGTATGTGTGTGTCCGAGTAGCATTGCTAGAAAGAAAGGATACGTCCAGAATAGCATGAATGACTGCAAAAATTTAAAGAACGGTATTAGCTGATGAAAATTTAGAACATGAAATATGTAGTGTAACTCGAAACATAAGCTTACCATAAGTCCAAACATGAAACCATCGAGTATAATCCGGTTCCAGCTATCGACATATGAATGAACCGAGAATTTTGCCTTTGCTATGAGTCCAATTGAAGTAATTGCCATGACAAAAAAAATAAAAGACAAACCCCACAAAGCCTGTGAATCCTAAAATTCCAGCAATAACCCCTCCGATGATGGACATAAATGTTCGGCTGCAAGTTAGAACAAAGCTTAGATATTGGCTTTCAATACATAATTTCACATTTCTGTAAACACGAAAAACAAACCTGTAATATATAACTTCCATGTTATTCTGCATATTCTCTGCGCTAAAAACCGGAACATCATTCATAGCTTCATTTGACTTCTTCTCAGATGAACTGGAATCACTATGTGCAGCCATGATGTATTCTTTATGTGCTCTACAACTTTCTGGGGGGGGGGGAAACAGATGCACGAGTTAACCATGAATTTCATACAAACCACAAATGATCCCGATTTTAGGAGAAGAAGAAGGAGGAGGAGAAGAAGGAAGAAGGAAGAAGGAAGAAGGAAGAAGAAAGAAGAGGAAGAAGAAGAAAGAAGGAAGAAGGAAGAAGGAAGAAGAAAGAAGGAAGAAGAATGCGGTTAACGTGATTAACGTGCCCATTCAGATAAAACTGATAAGAAAAAATAATTTCACTGACCGAAAATGTCTTATAACATACGATTTTAACAAATTTTTTTTGGATTTACGAAAATGACCAATAAATTCGCAACGCAAACTTCGATTTCGCAACACAGTTTTTAAATACGCAACGCGAATTTGTAAATCGCAACACAGTTTCCAAAATCGCATTGCGATAGTACCGTTTACCTATATCGGTAATTAGCGTTGCGAATTTGAAAATCGCGTTGCGATAGTACTGTTTACCTATGTCGGTAATTAAATTACGAAATTGGCGAATTCGATTTGCGAAATTCGCGTTGCGATAGTTGTGTTTATCTATATCGATAATTTGCGTTGCGAATTTGAAAATCTCGTTGCGAATTTGAAAATCGCGTTGCGATTTACATATTCGCTTTGCGAATTTGTTGGTCATTTTCGCAAATCCAAAAAAAGTTGGTTAAAATCGTATATTATAAGGCATTTTCGGTCACTGAAGTTATTTTCTCAACCGATAAAATTAACTGCGGATAACGTAGGGACTTTACTAAAAACATACTAAAAGTTCAGTGATTGTATTATAATTTTTAAAAGTTAGGTGATCAAAATACAAACACCCTAAAAATTTAGGGAATATTTATATACTTTACCCTATTATTTATTTATTTTTAATAATTAAATTTTTATGACATATTTTCTTTTGTCTTTTGATATGTTTTCGATCATTTGACTATTATTTTAGTTTCACTTTTGTAGGGTTGAATTTAACATCATTATGACTGACGAATATGATGTTTATTTTTTATTATGCAGATCTTCCATGTTTTAGACTATCGGATTGAATTTTGGATATGTGATATGTGTTTGTGGATAGTTTGTTCACATTGCTTTATTTTGATTTACGATTTCTCGGTGATATTTTAACAGAGTGATCTTTTTTATATTCGTTTGTCGATACAATCAAATATATTTGTATCTATCTTCGAGTTTATTTGGTTATTTTTTTTTAACATTTTTCTTGTATGGTCCTTATATGATCCCAGACGACTAATTTTTATGTTTTTTTATCATTACATCAATTCATCATAAGAATATAAGGGGGACTGGAATAATCTCGATCAAGGACTGCCAGTAAATGAGTCGGGAGAGAATCGAAGACGAGAAGAGAACCATCACGAGTAGTATCCATTTTGGCAATGAAATCTGCCGCAGCATTTGCCTCTCGATAATTTTTTTGAAAATCAACGAACCAAGCTTTATTGTAAATGCACGAAATGGAGAGTACCAGGGCAAATGGACTATCTATGGATGGAGAGGATAGGAGACTAATCGCTTCACTGCTATCCGACTGCACAATAATCTTCTCTACAACATGCTGCCATGCAAGCTCGAGACCACTAAATATACTCCAAAGCTCCGCTTCAAGCACCGATGTATGGCTGATGAACCTTCGGAACGCGAACAAACACTCCCCTGATGAGGTGCGGAGTAGGCCACCAATAGAACCTTGACCAGTCGACGGGGAAAGGGCACCGTCTGTGTTAAGGCAGAACCATCCCTCATCTGACGGCGACCATTGCACTTGAAGAGGTTGGGGAGCTGTACTGTTACGTGGAAAGACAACAGAATCAAAGTTCAGTTTGCTCCAAGAGATACCAGCTTGGAACAACCTTCTCGGAACAATAGGAGAACCTTGAAACACAAAACTATTCCGACCCTTCTACAACTGCCAAATAATGGATGAGAAGAGAACATTCCACGAAACCTTATATTCATTGCAAATGGAGTGAGTTTGCAGGTTGGAAAGCAGTCAAGTTTCCAGAGGAAGGTCAAAAAAGGTGGACAAACCATACCATGCTTGCCGAGTACGAGGACAGTCTCTAAGAATATGCAGGAGAGACTCGGATAAAAGGTTACACGCAGCACACGGGATCAAATCCAATATTACGGGCACAACGGGCCATAAAAAACCTCGGATGCGCTCTGGCACATTAAGCTTCCAACTGTTGTTCCAAGCAACCCAATTCTATCTATCAAGAGAAAAAAAAGCGCTTCGAACTGAGAAATGACCTTTTGGATCCTCTTTCCAATACAAGCAATTAGGTTCACAACGGACTTATGTTATTAATTACATAAAAATATTCTTATTATGTGTTTAATTTATTATAGTAATTATAATTCATTGTAATTTAGATATTTTTTTTTTATTAAAACTACGATTTTTATTAGAAAAAGAGTAACGAAGAAATGAAGAGAAACTTGTGATGGCACATAGCTAAAAGTTTCAATTGAGTAATGGGTCAGGTCATAACGACCAGACCTAAGTATTATCTCCTAGGGTAAACACCTTATTTAGTCATTCTATTATTATTGCATTTATCTTTTAGTCGCCAAATTATTTAATTTTTATAAATTTGTCATTAACATTATGTCTTCACTCTAAATTGATCATCGACCACCAACAACTTAAAAAAATGGTGATATAGACTATTATAACAATAATTTTAATCTTCAGAATTTATATTTGAAATTAATTAAAAATTAATATATAATAAAATTTCATTAGTTTTTATTTATAATTTTTCAAAATAAAATTCGTATGTCTCGAGGAAAAAATTACTTGAATTATTTAGTCTAATTGGTTTTCTCGCGTGCAAGATATAAATTAATAGATATAATTTTAATT